CAAAGGGAAACTGAGGCATGGAAGAACCTCAGCAGATTTCAGATCTCATTCTGCCATTTAGATGCACTGCCAAGAGCACCTTGCAGCCACAGGGAGAGGAGGGGGCATGGCATTCCCAGGGGGTTTCAGCACTGAAATGGAAGCAGCAGCAGTGTCCATGTCCACTCAGGGAGGAGCAGGATGGGGCAGCACCCCACTCGAGGAATGCTCAGCACCAAGCACCCATTCCCTGAGTGACAAGTGTGACACCCAGCCATGGGGACTCTGTGCAGTGCTTGGCACAGCTGGGTTAGGGTTAGATGTGCTAATTAGCCATGGATAATGAGTGTACCTGGCCTGCTTGAGCAAGTGGTGAGCATTTGCTGGGAAACAAATGTCTCCCTCCCTCCTTCTCCACCCCCTTCTCTCTCTCCCCAGCTGGGAGGGGTGATGGATCCATGTGAGTCTCTCTTGGCTCAGAGCTGCCTCTCCACCAAAGGGCTTTTCCTCCTTTTGGGATTTGTGCAGAAACAGGACCAAAATACATCCCAGTTTGGGAAATCCAGCCCAAAGCAAGGCCATGCTCCAGCCTGGCAGAGCAGAGCCAGGACAGACCCCACAAGTGACCTCTGAAAGCTCCATACCACTGGAGCCTGAGCAGGAACAGCCTTGTCATGAGCACGGGAGATGTGGTTGGGCACAATTCCTGTGGGATAGGACCAGGGAAGAGCAGGAGTGACACAGTGGGATCCCTGGCTGGCTTTAACACCTTCCCCTTGCCTTCCCATGGATCTGTCAGTGCCAAACCCACGCCAGAGGAGGTGCAGGGCTGGGCACAGTCCTTTGACAAGCTGATGAAGAGCCCGGCGGGGCGCAACGTCTTCCGGGAGTTTTTGCGGACTGAGTACAGCGAGGAGAACATGCTCTTCTGGCTGGCATGTGAGGAGCTCAAAACCGAGTGCAACAAGCACACCATCGACGAGAAGGCCAGGATGATCTACGAGGATTACATCTCCATCCTGTCTCCCAAGGAGGTAGGAGGCAGGGCCTTTGAGGGGAGGGCTCTTAGGGAGAGGGCTCAATTCCAGCTGCCGCCACAGCCCTGTGACAGTTTAAGGATGAGTTTGGCAGGGTAAAAGCTGTGGGAAGGGGATTTCCAGCCCCCCAAAAACCCCGGGATGCTGTTGGCAGTGGGACCACGGGCCAGCATGTGCTGCGGGGCCGAGACCTCACGAGGGCACCAGCGGGCCGAGAAAATGCTGCATCCCGGCCTGCAGCATCCTCGGAGTGGGGGTACCCAGGGCAGGACCACCACAACCCACCTCCCTGTGCCCAGCTGGGGGACACAGAGGGGACCCAGAAAGATCCCCACTCCTCCCTGAGACCCTCCCCAACCACCAGGGCCTCAGTGCCGGTTTCTTCTGTGATGGAGCACACCACATGTGGTGCTGCATTGTTACCCAGTTTCCCATGGAAGGGGGTGCAGAGAGTGGTGCTGGGCCGGGGGCTTGTCTTTGGGTGCCCCCCAGCCCCCACTTTCTCTCGGTGCCCCCCAGGTGAGCCTGGACTCGCGGGTGCGGGAGGTCATCAACCGGAAGATGCAGGAGCCATCCTCGCACACCTTCGACGACGCACAGCTCCAGATCTACACGCTGATGCACAGAGACTCCTATCCCCGCTTCCTGAACTCTGCCATTTACAAATCGCTGCTCCAGACCGTCTCCCACTCCTCCTCGGAGTCCTAAGGGCACCCACTAGCCGTGGGGACACCAGTGGGGACATGGTGGCCAGGGGTGGTCGGTGCCTGCTCCCCTCTGCCACCCTCCTTGCCAGACCTCACCAAGTTTTTAGCTTTTTACCTATGAACTGTCACCCCGGTGTCTGGGCCACACTCCAGGACTGTCCCCAGGACACAGCCTGGGCCAGCTCATACTACTGATTCCCTGCCCCGTCCCCAGCACTGGCCAGAGCGAGCTGGGGGAGCACGGGACAGCGCCCGGGGCCTGGCTCCCCCCACATCCTGTTTGGAAGAGGTCACTTTATCCCATCTCCACCACACCTGGGGACACAGCCCGTCCCCATTTGCCACCCGAGACCCAGTTGGGGACTGGGTTGGGGGTTTTTTGAGGTGGGGGAGAGGTCGATTGTTGTTGGTTTGGGTTTGTCTTATTTTTTTTATTATTTTAAATGCTCTTTTGGTTGGCTTTTACTGGGGGACTTGAGGTGCGGGAGGGGGGTTGATGAGCATCTCTGTACATATAAAAACTTGTCAGGTTTACCTCGCTCCAGCTGTCTGAGGTGGCCCAAAGGGCAGGGGGGTGGTGCTAGAGCCTGTTTGTATTCCCAATGGATCCAGAGGGAGCAGAGCTCTGAGGTGCCAGAAGGGATCGTGAGGATGTGCTCGGGTGTTGGGCAGGGGGTGTGTTACAGCTGCCTCCCCTGCCAGCCCCATCAACACTGCAACAGCCCCAGGACACCACAAAGTCACACCAAACCCAGAGCATCCTCCATCCTTGGTTCATGGACCCCAGAGAAGGGGGAAAACACCTGTGCAGGTGTTGTTTGCCCTCCTGGAGAACCCACAGGCACCAGGACACCTGCATGAGAGCTCCCAGCTGGCCCAGACCTGCCCTGCCAGCCAGGAGAAGCCCAGGGGTCTGTGCTGGTCCCTCACTGAGCAGGGACCTGGGCTCCGCACAGGATGGGAAGTGGCACAGGGAGGATACAGAATTCCCATGCTTTTGCACAGCATAAGGAATGATTTACTGAAGGCTCAGTATCCAGGATTAAAACATGTCTGTCCCTGCCCTTCACACTGAAACAAAGCCAACACAGGGGTTTTGCTGCCAGTCTTTGCTTTTCCTGATCCACCACAGCAGTTTCTTATTTATCCACCCCTTCCCCTCCTCTCTTCAGCCCTTCCAAAAGAAAAAAAGTGCTTTTTATTGAACATATTTTTTTAAACAAACCAATTCTTTCAGCTTTTTTTTGTTTGTTTTTGTTTCCTTCCTTCCTCATGGCATGACTGTGTGGAAATTCATGTCAGTAAATTTAGTTTTCTTTGCCAAGCTGGAAATACAGTTCAAGAAAATGTATTTTTGAGAGAGACCAGCAATGGTTTATTAGGAATGTCAGTACTGTTATTATTGGCAGGTTTTCCCCCTTACAGCATCCCCACCCTGCACAGGGGAAGTTTTAGTTCTGGGCTTACTCTATGAGTAAGGGAAATACTCTCAGTTGTGGCCCCGGCCTGAGGGTTGCAGGCTGAACATCCCTGAAGCTGTTCAGGACATGGCAGGGGGTCGGAGCCCCTCCACACACCACAGAGGTCTCAGCACAGGGAAGACCCCACTGCCACGAAACACTCTAGTTTTTCTCTTGCTGCCAATCCCTTTTAAACACATTACAAGCAAATCTTTACTTCTGAAACACCTCTTATCCAGTGTGCTTCCCCTCCCTGGCTCTCCTTAGTGTTATCCCAGAAAATGGCACTGTAAAATGACATGGTACTTTTCCCAAACTCCTGCTTGGGACTCTTGGTACCTAATTCAGGGTTGCCAGAAGGCTGTACACAAGCTCAGCTCCACTCCTCACAGGAACACAAGAAGAAAGGCAAGAGGCACTGGTAAAGAGCTGGCTCCTTTTCCCAGTGCACGAGCCAGTGCTGTGGTCAGCGTGGGTTTCAGATCCTGAAGCTTTTTTTTTCAGCATCACTGCGAGGACACTGCTCCCTCCCAAGCCTGGCTTGAATAATCCCATTCACCACAAGACTCGTGAGGCTTAAAGGAGTTGTCAGCGTCTTTGAATATTTTCCTTCTTGGGAGACTTGGCTGCACCCTGTAAAGTGAAAGCCCTGAGCGAAGGATGCTGGTGGGATCCCTGCCTCCGGAGCAGCACAGCCCTCAGAGGGGCTGGGAGCACGTTTTCCGCTGCTTTCATGTGGCTGCTTACTCCTCTCCAAACATCTCCGAGGTCTCTGCTCAATGTCTGCTGTCTGGCATGCTGGGAAGCCAGTGGAAATACTTGTTTTTCACTCTGGAAGAGGGAAGTGATGCCATGAGAGATGACTGCAAATGCTCCTGCCCTGCCTGTCAGCACAAGAGCTGGAGGGCACAGCACTGCCCCTGGGCAGCCTCAGACCCACAGACCTTGTTGGGGTCCCCCAAATGCTGCATGACCCCGGTTAAAGGCTATGAAAAGGAGAGAAAAGAGATTTTAAGTCTGGTTGAAAGCTGTTGTGAGCTCACATGGAATTTCCCCACCAGGTTTTAGTTAGCTCCCAGAAGGAACATGGTTCTGCAGATCTCCTTCACAGGGTCACACCTGCAGATGTGGCACCTGGGGCTGGCTTTGCTACAGGATCCTTTCCTTATCTGACCCCTTGAGCTCACTTCAAACTTCCACTTCTACAGCTAAGTGCTAACAGCTCCCACCCATCCCTCTAGCCCTTACCTTGTCCAGATCCAAGCCTCTGGAAAATTTCCTGTATTTGCAGCATTTTCCCTCCTCCTGAGCCTCTCCAGCAAGCCCCTCTGAAACTCCAGGCTGTTTTTCAGCTGTCAAGCTACAAGCAGAGCACAAACAGGAAAGTGCCTGGGACTCCTTTTGAACAGTTTGGGGTGGGATTTTCTGTGGCTGGTGTCACCCTGCTTTCAGTCTGTTACGACCTGAGCAGTACATTCTTTATCTTTGCAGCAGCCAGTGCTATTGGCACGTAAAGGCTCAAGATGCCAAGGAATCAGTGCAAAATCCAGTGAATGCTGCCAAAATGGAAAGCAACATCTGATCTCTGCCCCAAAAGCTGTGTCCTGTCAACAGTACTGCCCACCCAGCTGCCTGAGGCCTTGGCCCAGTGGCTGAGATTCCATGAGGTGACAGAAACCAGCCTTCACACACCAAGGGTGTGCCTGCAAGTCACATCTCACTTTCTGCTGCTCCAGGCATTATTCAGTCCTCATCCACCTGGACATGGACCGCCTGTCAATTTCCCATGCTGGAAAAACAAAATGCATCACACACAGTTGAAATAAAAGTCAGAAACTGACAAAAATGTTTAATATTAGTTTTGAAGAGAAAGTGACTGTACTTGCTTAGATGAGAAAGAAATGACTGGGTGTGTTTAGTGAGCTCTCCTGCCAGCCTGTCAGCCCAGGGCTGTGGCTCTCTGCGAGGCTCAGGCCTCCCCACTGCTGCTCTCAGCGTGTGACAATGCAAACTCACTGGGACACAAAACACAACTGCCGTGGGAGCCGGCGTGTGGAGGCTGCGCTCAGGTCTGCGTTTGGCTGCCGCTCTTGGGCCATGGCACATGTCAGCAGAACTGCAAGAGAAGGGAGTTGAAACCTCAGTTAGAAACCTCACTGCCAAGGGGAGCTGCAGAAGAAGGTAAGGATCCAGGTGTGGGCTTGTTTCAGAAGCTGGTAAGGGCTTGGGGGTTCTCAGAAGCAGGGGCCAAAGGGAGCTCCCATGTGAATCTCTCACTGTGGCTCTTTGGCACTTTATAGTGGCATCATTTCTGCTCATCCCTGAGCTCTGTGCACAGCATGAAAGAGCAGTTTTGAAATCCTGAACATCATCACCACTATCCCTCAGAGGGCAGAGGCAGCATGGAAAGCACTGTAAAGCAGGTTATGGAAAAAGGGATATGAGAGAGCAGGGAATGTGGGAATATGGAAGTGAGACTTAACCCCCACTGGTCTGCAGCGGGTTAGGGTTCTTGTGGATGAACCCAGGAGTATTTGCTTCTGTGCTGGGCAGGGAGGGGGGAAGATCACTCTCTAGAGCCAGTGAGGGTTTGGCAAGCACCTCTGAGCAGCAGCCAAGTGCATGCAGCATGGTGGGTGCAGCCACCCCAGCACCCCTCAGTGCCAGTAACAGCCCTGGTGCACTACCTTCCAGCGATTCCCACACTCATTGCACACGACAAACGTGGTCATGGGCTCATCAGAGCTGCGAGTCTGCACCTGCAGGGGACAGAAGGGAGGTGAGAGCTGAGCATCACACATGGCCCTGTCCCTCCAGCGTCCAGGGACTCATGCTGGGCTCACAAAATCAATGAGAGGCTTGGGACAGCAAAAGGAGCTTTCCAGTACAGTAAGTCTGGTGGTTGTACACGCAGTACACACATACACACATCATGACCCCCTTCAGCCTGACATTACCTCAGTGACAAGTTTTGGGACAGCACATTTCCCTCTTCACTCAATATGCTGCCCATTTCTTGCAGGTGACTCTGGAAGTAGACATGCCCACAGCAAATCCCTCCCCACACTGTGCCCAGGAAGGGATGTGGCCATGACAAACCCCTCAGTCCCAAGCACAAGAGCATAAAAAAGCACTCAAGCCATTTCCATTTACAGAGCAGTCCTACATCCTGGCCTCACTGGAACACACTCTGGGTTACCAGGTTCTGCACAGTTCCAGTCTGGTTTGTGTTTGAGCCATTAAGGAACTCTGATATTTAACCCAGATGTGATTGCTGCCTCTGACTGGCTCTTGCCAGAAACACATACTTTACTTAAAACCAGATTTTAGTGGCATTTGAATACCACAAGGCAAATCTAGACTGAAAACACTGGTGCTCCCCACACCAGTCAGGCAGAACTGTGCCGAGGGGCAATTATGGTGATCTCCATGTGTAATTACCCAATGTGCAAGAGTCATGGTATTTTCATGATGCAAATTAATCATTTTTGCAAGAATGCTGGATAGCTAAATTCTGTAATTCTCCCCCTTTACTGTCTGCTTCCAATATGCTCATAAATGCCAGTTCATCTACTTGAGACATCTCACCACCCACTAGTGATTTCACTAGAAAACAAACCAAGATACAGAAAACCTCCAAATACCTGTTTAGACACTGCTGTCTCCTGCTCAGATTCCAGGCAGTCAAACTCCAGTCCACTACAGGTGGAGACAGTGCCATGTGCTGGGACAGCCCAGGAATGCTTACTGGGAGCACTGGCAGAGCAAGGCCTCTTGCCTCAGCCAGCCTTTGGGATGCAAGGCTGCTGCTGAGCCAAAGGAAACTCCCTGGTCAGATTCCTGGATCTCCTTCTCTTTCCATGTGTTTGTCAAGTCCAAGCAGATGCAGGAGTCTCACCAGGCACTTGCACACGCAGCTTGTGCGCAGTCACTCAGCAGCAATCTGGTGGCTGCTGGTGCATTTTTGGGTATCTGCACATTCTAAACCACTGACTCACAGCAAAGGCACATTTATCTCCAGATGCCTGGCACGAATATGGGAGCTAAAAAGCACTGGTAATGCACAAGGCTTCCAGCAGCTGGCCATGGGGAAGAAAAATCCTCTGTCTGCTCACATCACAGCTTCATTTCTTCCTTTTGTTTCACCCATTTCATGCTGTTTGATTTTAAGTAAGTTGGGACTTATCCAGCTGCAGGTTATCTATATTCTTAATTTGTATTTTTATTACCATCAAAATCTCTGACTCACTTTCTGCAGCCTCTCCTCTGCACTACCCACTCCTTTCTTGTCTGAATCCCAGCATTCCCAGCACCTGCTTTCAGTGTAGACCACTACCGAACTTTTGAAAGCCTCCTCAGTGCTACACAACTCCTGCTTTTGTACAAGTTAGCCAAAAAGTTACACAAGCTCACAGAAACATGTGCAGAAGTGCATTTTAGACAGTCTCAAGTGTTTTCTGTCCACCAGTAGCAAAACTTGTACTGTGCTGCCGGGCCTGTCATGGAGCAGTGCAAGCTCATGACCATGACAGATCACATCCTGTGCAGAGGCCAAGACAGGAGCAGAAAAACCAACCTGGGTGTAGGTGCAGTTCTTCTTCTTGCATTTCCCGCAGGTGAAGAGGTCAGTCTGTGTCCCTCCTGTCTTGGCCATCTGATGCTCCCGGATTGCTTCTTTTGTCATGGCTTTCCTGATCTCTTTCAGTTCATTACTGGCCATTTCCTTTAAAAAAAAAAAAAGCAGTAAAATCACATCTGCTCAGTTTTACCACCACACCCACTACAACAGGACAAGGCAGCCTGACAGATGGGCATTACGACAGAAAGCCTGTTCCAGTTCTGGTTTCTGGTTCATACCCAGGGCCCCGGGATGATGTGAAGGCCCAACAAACCACTCTCCACACTGCAATCCCCATTGCAACCTCATTCCACGCACTCTGGCAGCAGCTACTGAGAAAACTGCTGGCAACAGCCCAGCTAAGCCTCAGGACACATCCCCTGTGAGAAGCAAACCCTGTGAGAAGCAAACCCTGGTCCTCAGGCTCCCTCACCTCCGAGGTCATCACCGCGATTTGCTCGGGGGTGATGGCCCCACACAGCACATTCTTTTTCAGCTCTGGATTTTTGGAGTCCTTCAGGTTGGAGATGCGGCTCCTCACGCGGTTTTTGTATTTCATGTCGGTGTTCTTGACATCCTGGTAGATGCGTAAGGGCAGTCAAGGAGCCTGCAACCAACCCAGAGCCATCAAGCACTTCCCAGCCAACCATGAAGAACAGGGACTGTCACCCACTGCCAGGGGGTGCTGGGACCCAACAGCAGCACCTGCTCTGGGAGGTCAGTGCTGGATTTGAGAGCAGGTCTATACAATCCCAAAGTCCAGGGGCTTCCAGCTTGGCCTTTTTCACTGTGCTGGAAATATTCAGCTGTGCTCAGGTACTACAACCTCCCCTTTCTCTCAGCAAGGCAGCCACAAACCCCTCTGCTGAGAGAGCCCAGCTGCACCTCCAACCCCACAGTTCCCAAACCAAGCAAAAACCTCACATAAGACTTATCTCACATCAGCATGAAATTTGATCCTCATTGCTCTATCCTTTCCATTGCTTTTGTCTAGATCAGCACACTCTCCTCAACAGGGAGCACAGGGAAGTTGCATGTATTTGGAAGCAGAATCAAAAGCAGGAAACAGCACTCTGATGGGAAGGATAAACTAGGGATTACAGTCTCTGAGCTCTCAACTCCACAGTGACCCAGGACTCAGCCAAGCAGAGCTGGATCCAGACCCAGAATGCTGACAAGCTGCAGCAGAACATTTATGCACAGACAGTCTCGTTTTTCCTTTGAGCACAGGGATTTCACTGCTGGAGGCATGCAGGCCCTCGAGGAAGCACGGTACAGCAAGGATATACTCTTCAATCTGGGCTGCTATGTGCTCGCAGTCGGCACCAATGGCGATGTAGTCGTCTGTAAGACAGCACAAACAGGAGTTCAGTAGCTTCCAACCAAGCCAGGGCTCCCCAGGCTCAGTATTTCTGAGCTACAGATCTGAACAGTTTGCTGGTTTGATTCACATGCTCTTCCCATCAAATGGCATCTTGGTCTTTGCTCTTGCTACTCTCTGACCCTTTGGAAAAGGGCAGTGATGAAAATAGACTAATCTAGCCAGTCTGTGTCCTATGCCTCTCTAGGATACGGACTGCATGAGACAAAGCTAACAACAGCCTTGGCCCAAGAAATTAGTTTTCCAATATATTTTTCATATAATTGCAATCAAACATATAGGCAGGAATTGAGTTTCCTCAGATAATCACCTCAATGAGAAGTAACTCTACTCAGACCAACCATCTGGGAGGGCCTGGAGGTGTGCAGCATTGGGATCAAGCCTTCCTTTCTCATCTCACCTTAGGACTGTCTGCTCCTCCCCTCTTCTCCCACACACCAGTTAAACAGCATCATACAGAGTGCATAACTGCTGTGGATTTGGACAGCCAGTATGATAACCAACACCATAAAGCAGGGAAGTTAAGGAACAGCTGAGCTTGGGGAAGGGCTCAAGGGAACTCTTTCCAAGATGTCATATGGAAAGGGTTTTCCTAAGAACTGTGCAAAGCATTTAATGCAGCATATAAACACATGCACAGGAAGGCTAGAAATAAAGACCTCATGAACTTCTCCATCTGTCATCTACATTCTTTGGCTCCAAATAAGTAAGACTTTGCAGTGCATAGACCCCAGTTTTTTAAAGGGATATGCAATGTGGACACAACCAGATGCTCAAACTTCCAGACATGCTGAGCACCTGCAGTTGCCTCTCGCTTGAGATGGCACAGTCTGAATGCAAAAGGATCTGTTCCATCCCAGATCCAGAGGACCACAATATTTAAGGAGCTTCTGTCTGCAAAGACAGCAGAGTCTGACAGCAGATGCTGACTGGCATAAGCACCATTCCTACAAAGTACATACATTGAGTTACAGCTTCACTTTGTGCCCCAAGCGTGACAAGGAAGACAGCTTCACTTTACAGCAATCAGAAAAGATCTAGAAAGTGAAGCAAATCCCTGCACACCTGAAAGATTAAACTTCTGCACAGACCACCCCGTGCTGCAGAGCAGAAGACCCCAACTAACCCTGTGTGACAAACCCCATGCTCCTAACAGGCGTTGCTTGACACATTGTCATGCCTCCAGCTCAAGCCAGGTCCCTGTGTAAGTGTCTGAAAATGCTTCAACAGCAGCCAGTTCATCAAAGGGGTAACCAGTGGCTAGACTGAGTTGCTGGCAGTAACCCTTTGACAAGGCTGCTCCAGAACAGTGTGTCTAAGCTGAGCTGGCACTGACAGTCTCTGTCAGAATGGTCCAGAAGCTGTGAAGCACTTGAGGCAATGCAGGGCTTCCACCAGCACTTACCATCAGCCTGAAGAGCTGCTGTCAGCATCTCCCTGCATTTGTTGCGCACAGCGTCGCAGGTGATGGGGGCCGGAGGGAAGGTGGTGATTTTAGGGGTGGTCGGAGTCTTTGGAGGCTCCTGCCTTTTGTTGGAGCTAAAAGAAAAACTTCACCTGTCAGAATGTCTCAGTTTGGGCCACTGAGAGCAGAGAAGGGAGCAGCAGGTATGTGGCCAAGCATCCTGTTAATCATAATACAGAACCAGTCAGAACACAGTGCAAAGTCACTGTCCCAAATCAGCACAGAGCACAACACAGCAGCCAATGCCCTCAGCCCAGACACGAGCTCTCCTGTGGACACTACTGGCTGCCAGCAGAGGTTTAATCCATGAACAACCCTGCCAACCATCTTGTGTCTTTCAACACGTATCAGCTGCTGCACCACTGGCCATCAAGTGAAAACATTACTGTTGGACACCACCAGTAACCCAAATACACTCAGGACATCTGAGACCATCAGCACTCTTTCAGTTTGGCAGTGCAGTGCAGATTCATGGTACTTCTTTCCTCTTTAACTTTGCAGGACACCAGGCCCATAACTGCTCTCAGCAGAAAGCAAGCAGAAAGCTCCAGAAAAAGGAGCTGTGCTAAGGAAAATAAAGAAAAAGAAAGAAAATGGTTCCTTCAGCTTTGATATTTAAAAAACACCACCAGCAAAGAACAAAAAAGGTTCTTCCTCTTTCCTGTAATCTGAGCAAGACACTGATTACTCATCTCACAGAAGAGCACCCCTACACAGCCACGCAAGCTCATACAGGTGCCAGGCTAGCACAGGACAGAAATACTGCTTCACTCTCAAAAATAACTGCATTTCCACCTGTGAGCACTCATGGGCACAGGCAAGGGAATGCCAACACCTGCCTGCTGTGGCTGACTCAGTCGGGTCACCTGCCAGGGGAGCTGGATGGAGACCTGCCTGCACAATCAGCACATGATGTGGGCAGGCTGAGTCACTCCTGCGGGGTCTGCATGCAGAGATGGAACCTCAATGAGCAGCTCAGCTGGTTGTGCACCCAGAAAGCCTAACATCTGCACATGGTGTTAGTCAGCCCTGCAAATACTGCTGGTAAAAGATCTGGGTTAGTATGATTCACAGATGATTTTCTAGAGCTTTGTTTACCCCCCTAAATCTAGGCAGCAGAACAGAAATTTTTTTTTCAGCAGAGATTGCTCTGGCTTTGGTGATTTGGCTGTAAAATTCCCTGTATTTATGGCCAATGCCTGGTACCATTATTGCACAAAGAGACAGAAAGGGAAAAAAGAAACCTCAATATTTCACCCATGCCATGCTGGCAATATCCTCTTGAAGATCCAAGTGGCCTGACAATTTTTTTTAAGCTGGGTCACTACTGCCAGTTCTTTGCCATCAAAAATAAATTTGTTATGAACAAGCACTTCCACTACACTGTCCTGGAAGGGATTAGTCAGCCCACAAAAAAACAGCACTAAGCTGGAAACCTTCCGAATCTGCTGCCACACAAACTGAGCCAGACGACTTTAGGGACTTATCCTGGGAGCTCCTGTGACTAAGGTCATATCCAGTCTGGCTCAAATCCCACAGATCACCACTGGGGCTACTGGATTTCCGCAGTTCAGAACCTCGCCAAGCCCTTTTCAGAAGCATCCACCAGTGGACCTTCAGCAAATCATTCAGGTCAAACCAAAGCAGAACTTTGATTTCTTGCTCATATGAAGGAGATGATGCACTCTGTGAGGGAGATTGTAGTGTAAGCTCACTGTGTTTCTCTTTGACCAGTAGCTGAATAAAACCCCTTTTTACCAGATGGTTTTACTGGTCGGCACTGCAGGAGCTTATTAAAGAACAGATTTGTGTCCAAACAGCTCAAAACATTCAATAGGATTTACACTGCACATGTTACAAAAAGAAGAAACAACTTAGCCTGTAAATAATCCATTAGACAATGATTTTCTCCCATCTGGAATGTAGAAACTGCCATCAGGTACTTTTGTGCTTAAGAAGCTACACACAAATCACAGGCAGCACTCATGGGGGTGTATATACCAGAGCATACACTAAGGAATAACCCATAATTCAGGAATAACCATCAAAAAAATCACAGCTTCTCACATTACATAAAATAGTTTGGAAAAATTAGACTTCCCAAAGGACAAAGGCAAAACATACTTACAGTAAAAGGAAGGACCGAAGGAATATGGGTGGTTTGTGGCAAGGGAAACTTAAAGGAGAGAAGTCCTGAAATTCCTTACAAAGGGAGATGGTAGGAAAAAATCCACAGAATGGTGTTGAAATGGGTTTAGTGTGAAAGGTTTTGATAGAGAGTAAGTTTTAAACTGTAAAGGTGACTTATGAATTGGAAATACTGCCAAGGGCAGCTATGGAAATGCCTTGCCCTAAGATTTTCTAGGGTTGTCAAAGAGCTTGAAAAAAGCCTGTCAGGGACAGCTTGGGCAGAGGTTGCGCTGTGCTGAGGAGGGGCTGCAGGAGAAGTTTCCCTGAGAGTTCTTACAGATTTAAATTTTGTATCATTTTGCAAGCAACAAAGGTTTCCCAGGGCAAAACCTTGTAGCTCAATGGGAACTCAGAACAGACCTTCGCTACAATGAGCCCTCCAACACAGAATTTCAAACCTGTACTTGCAGAAGTAATACCTGATTTTCAGAAAGGTTCTATCTGCAAATGCTATTGACTTGAATATTTAGATGTTTATTCCTTGGGGGTGGAAAAAAGTTCAACAAGATGCATGGTAGTCCCACTGCTGTTAGCTGATGAGGAAAGACACATTTGCTTGCACATACACACACTATCCCTGCACTGAGATGAGAGATGATCCCTCAAGGATTACATGAAACAGACTTCTCAGCCATTCCAAAGACAGAAAATTATTTATTAAGGTTTAGAGGTTAGTTTATAAATAGAAAAGTTGGGAAATAGAGCTCAAATACACCTAGAAGACTTATTTCAGGAAATCCTTGTGGTTTACACTGTTCCTGTTAAGCAGGAGAAAGAGCTTGTAAATCTATCCAGGCAGCAAAAGTTTATACATAAAACAAAGCTATGCTGGAACAAAATGGTGGCAAAGCAGCAGCCAGGGACTGCAAGCAGAACACAGGACTGCACTGGAAGAAAATCCCACAGAAGAGCTAAATTCAGGCCACAGATCCAAAACCTCCTAATAAAGGCAGTTTAGAGAATCCTGGAAAAGAAAAACCTCATGCTGCCAGAGACAGAAACATTAGACACAGCCCATTAAAATGTACTACAGTATGGATCTGAAACTCTACAGCACAACAGAATATGCTTTGGATTAGAGTAATGCAGCATCTAAATTCACAGGTGCCAGCTACATGCTGGCTGGCTCAGAGCCTTCGGGTCTTGCAGTGATAGCTCCACTCACTACACAGAGATTTCTACATCTGTGCTCCAGAAAGCAAGATGAGTTTCAGGCTAAAAGTTAGTCAAATATTTTTCCCTGACCAAAATGGAAGGCATAGCCAAAATCTCACAGACTAAGAGGCTGAAATATCTGAATACAAACTGATCTCTTTGGTGTCTTGACAGCAGCCTCATCTGAACCAGCTATCACACACTGAGCAACCAGTCTGACTCCACTGCAGTCTCTGCTTCAAAGAACAGAGACTCTCCTCTGCCAATTAAGTATTATTTTCTAAGGCAGATTAGTAGTTTATTTTGCAGGACTGGAGAAAAAAACATTTCTGTCTCTGGAAGAGAGCCTGGTTCAACAGACTGACACCAGGAGCTGGCCCCTGCTCCTGGTCTAGCCTACACTAATCCATTGGCTTCTGTTCATCCTTCATAGCCAAGGAGATGCTTTGCTAGTCACAAGATGGAGGCTGAATACATGTAAAAAGCATCAAGGATTAAAAAACCCCATCAAACTGCAGTATCTGCAGCACATTAGGGCACAAGGGAACATTGGCAGCACAGGCCAGACAGCTCCACTCCACATACCCCATGATAAGTGACAAAGCAAGGAGGCAGCAAGGAGGTGTTTTGCCTCTGTGCCTACAGCCAAGATCCTGCTCCAAGTGAAATCCCACACAGATCTGGACAGCCCTGGCTTCCATTCTGCATGGCATCACTGAACTCCATCCTGGCTGTGAAGTCTCCCAAGTCCCTCCTTCATTGCAATACTTCGCAAATCCTTTTTCCCATTTTATGGAAGCAAGATAACCCAAGATACCAATAATTTAAAGTCATGGAGCTCAGCATCAGCTTTCTCTCCACCAGCAGCTCTGTATCGAGCTGCAAAGGCTCACCCTGAAATGTCAAGCCTTGAGAGAGCTGAGTAAAAACAAAACAGTGACAAGAAAGTGACCAACAAAGGCTGCAAACATGGAAAATCCTGCAAGCTAGCAGGACTACAGCCTGAATATTCTAAATCTTCTGTCAAACTTGGAAAATTGGCTAAATCACTTAAGAGCCAAATCTAGGAAGTACACACCCTCCTGGGATCTGAGGCTGGGAGAAATTTCTAGAACAAAGCTTTAAATCCCATTTTTCCCCTCCTCTTTGATCACTGCCTGCACTCAACAACTGCAGCCACAGGCAGTGGAAAACAGGATGCAGCATTCAAGGCATGGCAAGGAGCAAGCATGCAGCTGACCTGCCAGCTGGGAGACACCAGCCATAGGGAAAAGAGGACTTCTGCTGGGATTTGTCAAGGACAAAGAAATGCAAGTTTTACTTTAGTAATGTATCAATCAATCCCATCCATCACTTGACACTGCAAAGGCCAAAAATAATCTTCATTCTAAGGAATTCAAAGTTAGAAATAAACAAAAATGCATAAAAATGCAATATGAAAAAGAATAGGGGAATGTTCTACTATTAGAAAAAACAACACATAATGAAGAGTAAAAAACATTAAATAAAATACTAATAAAATTTTAAAACTCACTAAAGCCACTGTATTTTAAGATGTGCATTTCTGCATTACAGTTAATAACACTACACAGATGAACCTTGAAGAAGAAACACTTTCTGTGTCTCTCACCAGAAATTTGGTAAATTCTATACAAAATTCCTGACTCAGACACTTGAAAATAAAAATTAAAGTGCCTTAATAAAATTTCAATTCTCCAACAGTGTCATCTTTGGTAAAAGGGAAGTATTACCTTTGGTCTTTTGAGTTACCAGTCTCCCTGGAGGAAGATGTTGGCAAAGACAGGCTTTTCTTTTTCTCCTCATTTTTTTCCTCAGAAGCATCTATATTCAAAAGAGAAATCAGTTCAGAACTGGTCTTTGTGCTACAGCCCTGCCTATACTCCTCAATGTTTTCACATTACCCACTGTTGGCCTAAAGCAAGTTACTATTCTCCCAAAAAGAATCAGGAGAAAATGCCTTTATGGCCTTCCTGCTTTCCAACAGACCTTTTCCTTGCCTCCAAGTAGAAACTAATTCAAACAAAAGCTTTCCTCACCAGACTAGAGAGCAATCAGTTTCCCTGCCTGGGAGATAAGCTTCCTCACAAGACATGCCTCTTCACAAAAGTTTCTTTCAGAGGCTGCTGAGCAGGGATTAGATCAAGTTCTCTCAAGCACAACTAAAGCAGAATTTCCAGCCAACACCAGCTGAAGGGCCAGTACAGGCTGGTCCTTGTGGGAGTACAGCCTCTTCTGATTCCCAAGTGCTGCTGAAAGCCAACAGCACAACCCTGGAGAGGTCTTTCATGACACTGTAGAACAAGTTTGACCCAGAAGTAAATTGTCCGAGACTAGCAAATACACACCCAATCTAATGAGGAGGTAACAATCCAGGCAGGACAGGAGAAGAACCCTTTTAACACTCATCCAACCTAGAAAGAAATGGGAGCCCATAACTGGGGAAGTCTCCCCAGCTGGAAATGGTCCATGTGAGTTTATCTATGAGATGGTGAGCTAAGATCCTTCTCCAGCTCACCACCCAAAATCCATTCCAGCACTTCCCTTCCTAAACTGTTGCACAAGGCTGACAGCACACATAGTGTTAATGCCACACAGAGCACAAGTGGGAGCAGAGGGTTCAGAGCACAGATCTTGCTTCTACAAATAACAGTGCTAATTATTATGTGATGAGGTATTAGTTACAAGTCCTGAAGCTTTCAATGCTTTTCCAATGATGAGCTGGCTAAACAGGAGCTAAATCTAGGGGGATGCATGATAGGACACAAAACTCGAAAGACAGAGAGGGTGGAATTGAAAAGGCTGATTTGCTAGAATGTTTATTCAGATCAAGAGAGCTCTCCCAAAAAACTCAGCCTCCCACTGAAGGCAGCTTGTTCACAAGCTGAATCTGACAGGAACATGCTGATTTCCTTACCTAGAAGTTTCTTCCAAGATTTGATGAGGGATTTGGCAAGTGATATCACCTCTTCATCTGTGCTCTGCTTCCTCAGTGCGTTCACCGACATCCCAATGCGGGTGGACTGCAAGGGAACACCCCAGTGAATCACTTCAGAACAGTTTCATTATTAGTTACTAACTGAAATCTCAAATAACCACAACAAAGTCAAAGCCATGACCAAGATAGGAGTATCCAAAGGCTTGCAGAATGATTCTGACCCTTACAACTTTGGAAGAGCGAGGTGACACTCTCCAGCTTGCACAACTGAATAGGAGACACATCCAATCTCTCACAAATCCCTTCCCTACACACTTGTGACATTCAAGCTTAGAGTGAAAAACTCCAATATGCATCACAGCATCCAAATTGTAATTCCACTCACTCCTCCCCAGTGTCCTAAATATCAACATTACAAAGAACTTCTTCCAAGACTGCCCTCTGTGTTTGCTACTTTAACCCAGTCTTTCCTCTTTTTGCAGCCTACAAACAAGACCTGACCAGTTACACACATGGTGACCCAGAGTTCTTTAACTGACAGTCCAAAACCCAACTTCTGCACTATTTTATTGAATTTAATGTTTATTTTGATTCTTTGCATGAGGTGAGAAGTGTGAGGAAATATATTAAGTTTATTTAGACAACA